GCTCTACCAGTGAGCGATGTTGCAGTCCAGAGAAATTTAATGAATGAGTGAATGAATGCTTCATTTGCCAATTCCAGCCTTAAAATGTGCCTCCCTCTTTCCTTTCCTTTTTATTTATTTCCTTGGGAAATCGTTCTTGAATGCATACTTCAACCCAAGTTCTTTTTTTTAATATTTATTTTTTAGTTATAGGCGGACACAATGTCTTTATTTTACTTTATGTGGTGGTGAGGATAGAGCCCAGTGCCTCACACATGTGAGGTGAGCACTCTACCTCTGAGCCACAACCTTAGCCTTCAAGCCATGTTCTTTAATTACACTTTAAATATTCTTTGGAAATTAGGGCACATAGAAGCCAGGTAGCCACCTTGCCCAGGGTCACACAGTGAGGAAGGAGAAGAAAAGGGATTCAGACTTGGCCATCTGGCCCCAGAGCCCACCCCCTCACAAGGGCTCTCCCCAGCCTATGGTGCTGGCGAGGGAACCCAGGACCTTGTGCCTGGCGGGCAAGCGGTCTACCATTGCACTACATCTCAGCCTCCAATGACTGTTAACCTATCTGTGCCCAGGAACCCTTTCAGCTTGTGGCCCCTATGCTCTGGAATCTTCTCAGAAGCAAACAGGTAACAGAGGAAGCCAATTACTGGAAATATACCTACTAAATATTTAAAACCCCAATCTGTGATGTGGTACTGTATGAGCTTCTGCACTAATACCTGCCCACCATAGTTTCCAACTAATTATAAACATAAATGATATTTGAGATAACTTCTATTTCTCTTGGTGCAAAACCATGGGTACTGTTTCTTCAGTTATGCTTTGTGAATTTCTGCACTCAAAACTGAAGGAAATACTAGATTCCTGTTAGAGGTTAGTGAAAATAAAGATGGATTTTTTTCACCCAGGTTCAGAGATCCACTAAACTTTATCTACTCCCATTTGGATCTATGGGCATCTGTGGGCACCAGGTCACAGTCCCTGTGTGAAATCTCTTCACTGCTTTTCATGCACTTAAACAGCTTGAGTTCTGAAAACTTGCTCTTACTCCAAAGTGGAGACCTATCTTCACTTTATTTCTTCAGGTCCTTACACTGTCCCTTAAGGAAAAGCCATCTGCATCCTTCGTTCCCCTTGCCAACCTCACCATGATGGCAGTTTTAGGTTATTGTTTCCTCCTTTCCTCTGCTCTGGTCCCCTCATCACTGAGTTTAAACAAAGGCAACTGCTGTGTTGATAAATAAGTGTTTTCTAATAATAGCTAATAGTCGAGGGTGGCTTGCTGCATTGTAGCTGTGATGCTGAATACTTGAACTCCTTAAACTGCCCTTTCACGCACTCTGCCAGGTAAGAACAGTTGCTACGATGCTAATGTTGGAGAGACAAAAGCTGAGGGAGGTCAAGTAACTGAGCCAAGGATTAATGTCCTCACAACAACCCTCTCTGGAGCACAGAGGTTCTGTTGCACCTGCTTTATGGATGGGAACCTGGGGCAGGAAGGATCAGTCATTTGTTCAAGAACACATAGACTTCAGAGCAGAGCTGTCTATCACCCCCAGCCAGGCTGGCCCCCAGGAGAACGCAGCCTCCTACTGCACCGTGCTGCCTCAGCTAAGGAAGGGGAACTAGGATGGATCCCAGGACTTCTCATTCCAAAGCGACCTTAACATTGGGCCAACAGTGATGACTGACTCAGGAGCTACTGGCAGTGGCTCATTCCTGTGAATGAACCAAAAAAAAAAAACATGTTGACTCAGCAACCCAGAGTAAGATTGTCAATTCAGTGGTTTGAGAGCCAAATCGGAAACCACAGTAGATCTCATCTACGTGAATGACTACCAAGAAACCTACGGTCAATTTAACCTTTGAGAAATGCGATGAAGGGCAGAGCCCATGGTCTCATAGAAGTCACATCTTAGAGGGAGCTAGACTGGGGGTATAGCTCAGGAGTAGAGTGTATATTTACCATAGGCAAGGCCCTGGGTTCAATCCCTAGCCACTCACCAATAGATAGATAGATAGATAGATAGATAGATAGATAGATAGATAGATAGATAGATAGGGCATGTAACAAAAAACTATTAAGTAAACAAGTGTTTTCTATTTTGTACTTTGAATTCTGATGAAGACAATTACCAAATACCACCAAGGGGAAAAATATTCTTTGGACTGCAAGTGACAACTTGCAAAGCAACATCATCCCCTCAAAGTGAAACTGTCCTGAAGTATATTGACTTTGAGGCCATCTATCCCTAGCATTCACCTTAACCCTTGGGAAGGAAAGTACCATTAAAATTAATTAATATCCAAATTTATCTGATTATTTCAAAAATTTAACTTTTGTCAACATTCAAGAATTCTTTCTCCAAATAAGAAGCAAGATTTTAGGGGACATATTTTGTTTCCTCTTGAACTTTTTCATTATCAAATACTTCCATGCACAAATCATTCTAGTTATTCTTTCAAATCTATGTCTTCCTGAGTTTCCATTATAATAGATGATCACTGCAAAATCCATTTGTTTTCATTAAGCTCTTTTGTTTTTAGTTAAAATGTTGTCACACTAAATCAGAGTTCAAATGTACTAATGTACTTGCATATAAGTTGTAAATACTTTACAGAGAGAGAGAGAGAGAGAGAGAGAGAGAGAGAGAGAGAGACAGACAGACAGACAACAGGGTGTTACATTCAACCTTAAGCAATTTCCAAGTTTCATATTACTAAATTATTCCTGGAGCTGATGTGGCAGAGCACGTGCTTCTCACACCTGTAGCCATGCTGGTTCAATCCCCAACACCAACATAAATAAATAAAAATTTAAAAAATAATAAATTACTACTCTCTAACCCTTATTGCTACAATGAATTCAGCAAGTATTTATGGAATGTCTGATGCACATCTGCCAGTATCTGACCGTTTACTTCCCCGACTCTGCATCTTGCCACTCTTGACTTCCTTGCTGTTCTTCATGCCAAACACACTCCTGCTGCAGGGCGGTGCTTTGCTCTTCTGTCCTCTAAAAGGCTCTCTCCCCCCCCCCCGACTCTCTGTATGACTTGTTCCCTCAACTTATTTAGGTTTTCTCCATGGAAAAAAAAAAGTGGTTTTTGACCACACTCTAAAAAAGCATGCACATGTGTATACACACTTGTTATTTCTCTTTCCCTCTTTTACTCTCCTTCATAGTACATATTATGTGACAGAGCACATACACCATCGTGGTCCCCCAAATAACATCATATTGCTTAATGACTTCATGGTCATCATAATGTTTAAGTATATGTAGTACAGATAGTCACACAACAAAATTGCTTCACAACACATTTCTTAGAACATACCTCATCATTAGGCAACACATGACTTTTATCTATTTGAGTATGAGTTTATTGTCTATCTCCCCCCAGAGAAAAAGTGCCATGAGAAGGGATATCCTTTGTTCACTGTTGTAAACCTGGCCAAAACCACAAAAGAGGCCAATAAAAACTTCTTCTTGAATGAGTCTTAATGTCTGGAAGGCATATAGAGATGAGGCACTACCCCAACAGCTTTCACAGTCGTTGGAAAAAGGAAGATGTTACATAAATAAGGCCACACAGCCTCACAGACACAATTACTATAGGACAAAGTGCTTTGAGGACACAGAGGAAATTTCCTGGAGGGACTGGCACTGTAATGAGGTTTTGCAGGATGGAGAATACACTGAAGAGCTGACACAGAAGCAGAAGTCATTCGGGGTAGACAGAACTACTTCTGTGGAAATATGAAGGAGGCAAAGTGCTGGGTATATTACAGGAACAGAGAAAATGAGTGAGGAGGAAGAGTAAGAAGAATTTGGAAGATAAGAAAAGTGTTTGAACCTCACTGTGGCAGAATGACGATGTGGCTGGCATTGCCACTGCTGATTTTAATGCCCTGAATATGAGTCACTGCTGAAGACAGCAGCTCCGCAGTCCTATAATCATGCAAAAGGTCACCAAAACACTCTGTTCTCACCCTCAGTGTAGCCACTGCTCCGAAGTAGGTGGGCTTTGAGATATGGAAGGGACCTGGGGGATACAGTCAGGGGACAGGGGCAGGAGTAGCCAGAGGTTTTGTGAGACTCATATGGGAACGGCTGGGGGATACTGATTACCTATTGAGAGAAACGTTGGTGTGCCTCCAGATCATCGTGTTTCCAAAACACTGGAATCTGAAGTTACGGTGGAGGCAGACTGAGAGTGAGGAGGGCAGTGGAAACAATGAGCAGCACCAGCGTTTCCATCGGGGCTGGTGTTCGACACGGATCTCACTAGGTCCTCGCCACCTGTGGCAGGCACCGCCGTCCACCCTTCTCTCGTTCTAGAACCTGCGAGCCTGGCAGTGCGTTTCCCAACCCCCCGAGTGCACAGAGGGGCAGCCGTCGCCCCAAGGCGGAGCCCAGCTCCCACAGGCTCTGCAGACTTCAGGGCTAGCGCGTCAGGCTACACCGCCGCGCGAACCCGGGCGCCCTGGGGCCGCGGCCCGCACCTGCAGGCCTCTCTGCCCCCGGAAGTTCACAGGACAGCTGGGGGCACCGCGAGCCCCAGGCGACGAGAACCCACGCGCGGGAACCCTAAGGAAGGGACCTTCCGGAGGCCTCCGTCCGGCGGCGCAAGGCAGGCCCCGCCCAATCGGCGCGCCCCCTCTCGCCCCGCCCCCTGCGGCCTGCCTCGGCCAATCCCGAGCGCCGCCGGGGCCGTGGCCCACGGACGAGGGCCTTACGTCACTGCGGGCCCTCTCGCCTCTTCCGGCGCCCGGCGCGTCGTGGGAGTCGCACGTGGCCCACGCTCGGGGGGCTTTTCACACCGGGTGGGCTGAGGCGGAGCTGTTCTTGGGACCCCACACAGACCCTGGTGTCAGAATTTCCGCGTCGCCCCAGCGCGGCCTCAAATGTCAGGCTCGCCCACTCTTCTCCGGCGTCGCCGCCCTAACCTCTCGGGGGCTCGCCGGGGAAATTCGCCGGACCTCCCTGGCGCGCCCCTCACCTGGCCTGGCTGCTTTTGAAACATACTCGTCTGTGACGCCCAGAGGTCTGCCGGCAGCCCCGGTGGCCTGTGTCCTGGTGGCCCAAGGACTTAGACGTGGGAAATGGGATTAGAACAGGAAGAAGTTGGTTGAGGTCACCTTAATCCATGGTGGTCAAGAAAAGTGCCAGTCACGTACGGCGCAGGGGTTACCGAGCACCTGCTGTACGCGGCTGCGAGGGCGCAGCGGTGGCCCGGACGCGAGGTCCGCTCCTGGAGTTCCCAGAACTCCTGCAAGAGCGACCGCAACAGTAGACCAGACAGAACGCAGGAGTGATAAGTGCTATGGATGAAGTAATAGGCTACCCGTAGGGGATGAGTTAGTATTATTCAGTTGAGATGACTAAATAAGAGGGACCCATGGGCTGCGGGGTGGATAGTAAAGAACTGGAGCAGTCTTTCTGCTGTGGTGATCAGGTGTGTGTGTGGGTAGTGTTCAGGAACCAGGATGAGAAGGACCCTGGGTGACTTGCTGACAGAGCCATTTCTCCGTTATTGGATTGAGAAATTCTCTGGAGCAGGACACCATATCTTCTTAAATGTCGCAACTGCTGTAAGAAATTAAGTTCCTTGAAAATAGGGAGACTTTTTAAAAGTTTGTACTTTCCACAATGCAAAGACCTGTCAAATGTTGAGTTAAAAAGGTAGTAGATGGGATGCGGCTCTTCTACCTGGAAACAGGGGACTGAACTAGGAGGTGTCTTCATTGCCAGTACTAGTAATACTTTTTTGGTAAATGGTTGAATATTTTTGGCTGTAAATGTGTGATGAGCAATATGTATGAAATATGGAGAGCCATGGGTGTTACATTATTAATTCTGACAGCATATGGTGGGTAGAGTGTGAAAATTGACATCAGAATATTTGAATTTGACCAAAACTGCAGGACCTTTCTAGACCTCAGACTTCATAATATGTCAAATGAAAATTGTGATGTGCCTTCCAAAAATTCAATATATATTGTCTAAAGCTAGTAAATGAGAAAGAAAATATTAGCCCCACTATTTTTAAATTCTGAGGTAATTACCAGAATAAATAAGAAGTTGAATTATATATTTGGCTCTGGGGAACAGGGTTGAGGGTACAAGAGTTAAGTTTGAGAATTACTGCTCTGTAGCAAAACCCAGCTACCATAGTTTGCCACCTGGCTGGAGTGACTTTGCCCCAGGTTGCCAGCTGTGCAGATTGGCTGAGGCAGTTCTGTTCCACATGTGTGTGTTCTGAAACCTGCCTTTGAGGGGGCAGCAGCAACTTCCCCAGGGGAAAGCTTTTCCTGTGACAATTTAAAAGTGCAAAAGCACAGGCCTGGAGATCAGATCAGTTCTTTGAAGGCTTCAATCTGTTCTGTTAACATCCATTGATCAAAAAGAAGGCCAAACCCAAAAGTCAAGGAAGCACATTCACACAGATAGAAGGGGAAAGAATGACTATTTCTGAAAATATACTATCATAAGTGATATTTGAGTTTTAAAAACTGTACAATATATTAATTTGATAAAAATTAATGCTGACTCAGATCCATTTCAATTCTTGTTGATGCAGATGTCTCAGGAGTGTTTAACTCCTGTGTGTCTGCCCCTTCCCATTTTTACTGGACCGGGGATTGAACACAGGGGCACTTGCCCACTTAGCCACATCCCCAACCCTGTTTTGTATTTTATTTAGAGACAGGGTCTCGCTGAGTTTCTTTGCGCCTTGCTTTTTGCTGAAGCTGGTTTTGAACTCGTGATCCTCCTGCCTCAGCTTCCCGAGCCGCTGGGATTACAGGCCTGGGATACCCTGCCCAGCTTCCATTTTTACTCTGTTGCCACTGTGTCCTGCTGCAGCAGACCACCAGCAGGTCTTATGAAGAGCTTTCTATGAGAGGCTGTGGCTCAATGGTAGAGTACTTACCTCGCATGTGTGAGGCACTGGGTTCAATCCTCAGTGCCACATAGAAGTAAATAAATAAAATAAAGATATTATGTCCATCTATAACTAAAAAAATGTATATTTAAAAAAAAAAGAAGAGGAAGAAGAGCTTACTATGGAAAGGCAACAGCCTGAGGCCTTTTGGTTTCCTTCCATCCACTTAAAACCTTCCTTCTTTCTTGAAGCACAACCCTCTGACCACTTGCTTCCCTCTCTGTCACTCCTGTGTCCCACATTCTTTCAAAGCTGGAGGGGGACAGCTTTTGCCTACTTCCAATAGCCGAAGGTGTTGGAGTGTTGGAGTGATTGCAGAACTCCAAAAGTTCCTTCTTAAAATATCAACTGATCAAAGATGTTTCAAATGTTTGCACAAGTATGGAGTGTTGCATAAATGACTTTATTTACAATTTTAGTAATTAAAAAACTCACCACCACTGTAAGGAGCACGTGAAATGTATGAAAGCACTTTGCAAACTAACAACGAAAAATAAAATGTTATTTTTTGAAAGTAAATGTAATTAACTTATTAATTAATAATATTTTCAAGGTCTCCATTAATGTCTATTAATTAATAATAATTTCAAGGTCTCCATTAATGTCTAAATGGAGACCTTGAAAACACTGACATATTTAAGAACTATTTGAACTCATTCAGTACTTGTATGGAGTTGCCCAAATGTGCTTCCCACTGCTGGGAATTTACCTTGGTGATACTTGCACACGTAGGTCATGGGTATAATGTTATTCGATACAGTGCTACCTGTACAGAAAATGTTTGGAAATAACCCAGGTTATCAGTGGGGCACTGGCAAATAAACTATGGAATATGCCCACGATGGCAGAGCATGGGCCGGGTGTTCTTTTTGATATGAAAAGATTTCCACGACGTTCATGCAACAGAGGTAACTGTGTGTAAGGGGAAGTGAAGACCAAAGTACACAACGGACAACATTTTTATGTGAGGAAGAAGGAAAATAACAGTATTGACAGTATACATGTGCTTGCATGAGAAGGATGTACAGGAAGCTAACAACGCTGTCACCTGGAGGGAGAAGCGATGGAACTGGATGAGGACAGGAATGTCATCTTCATCATCTTGGTATGAAAGTGGCAAAAGCATTAATATCCAAAAACTTAAAATTAGGTCCTGTAAACAAACTACCCACTACGTATTTATCGACTTCTTTGCTTGGCATCCCTCTAATCCCGTAGGCTCGGCGGCGGCGGCGGCGGCAGGGCTTTTAACAGCGTGGAGAGAAACTGCCCATGAAACGCAGAGCCGCCCGGGACCGGCGGCGAAGCGCAGGGGGACAACCCGGGAAGAGTCCCGGCAGAAAGAGGGGAGAGGAACCAGGCCGACGTGCGTGCAAGGGGGCAGGCGACCTGCGCAGCAGCGGAGAGCGGCCCGGCCCGCGCGGGGCGCCGGCTGCGAAGGCAGGCTCCCCAGCTGCCCGCCGAGCGAGCTCCGCCGGAAGTGACCCACTGACGCGAGCGGCGCGAGTCTGCGCAGTGCAGCGCCGAGGGCCCGCGGCGCGTGCGTGCTGGGGTGAGCAGCCTTCGCTCCGCGGGGTGAGTGGGCCAGGCGTCGCGGAGCTGCCGACCGCGTCGAGGCCTTCCACGGTGGGAAGGATAGCGGGTTGCCGACCAGCGCCTGGAGGAGCCGGGCGGGCCTGGGGCGCGCGGTGCCGGGTGGGGGCGAGCAGGGCGTGCGCATGTGGAAGTGTGTAGGTTACGGTCGCGGAGCGCGGGCGCTGGCCTCTGCCCTCCGCGAGAGCCCCGCGCTCCAGGTAGCGGTGCGCGTTCCTCAGGCTGAGAACCGTGTGCGCGTGTGTGACGCTGCCGGCCACGCCCCTCCCCGGAGCTTTTGCTTTTCTTACTGGAACTTAAAAAAAAAATTAAAAAATATATAAAAAATCCTCTCCAGAGCTCTTGCAGGCTACTTCCCACAACTGTTCCCGTTTTTTGCCGCTGGTAATCAGTGTGGTTGGGTTTTGTGAAACGGTACTTGAGGATCTGCGTTGTGCCGAGTGCGAGACGAGACCCACATTCGTGTTTTAGAAAACTTCGTATTCAGCATATTAGAAATCGGGTTTAAGGAAACGTGATAAAGAGCCTGCCCTTGTAGTGCCCGTCTGTGTAATACTAGGGAGGCTGAGACGGAGGATCCCAAGTTCAAGGCCAGCCTGGCAACTTACGTAGACACTCTTTCAAAATTAAAAAAAAAAGTGGGGGTCAGTTGCCAGGTCTATAGCTCAGTGGTAGAACACTGCACCCCTGAGTTAATTCTCCAGTACCACAAAAATAAATAGAAAGAAAAGGAAAACCAAACACACGTTAGCAATCTCTGTCTTCAGCTCAGAAACAGAGCAACTGAAACTACCGTGTAGATTATTAACCAAAATGCTTTAAAAAAAAATACTTACCAAAATAATTTCCCTAGGAGATACTTAGTGTGCTTTAAAATGTTCCTTAACTTAAATATTTTGGCTATTATAGGGTTGTAGTGAAAGTTTTTTGACTTTTTTTTTTTTTTTAATTTTTAAGGTGTTAAAACAACATCAAAATGGCTTCAAAAAGAGCCCTGGTCATCCTGGCCAAAGGAGCAGAGGAGATGGAGACCGTTATCCCTGTGGATGTCATGAGAAGAGCTGGGGTAAGTGCTGTTTACTAGTCCTTGTCAAAAGGTTTGGATTTTTAAAGACATTGAATAGAGTGAAACCCAAAGTACTTCATGAAATATTTCAAATATGTTCAAAAATACAGTGATTACATAATAACAAGTATCTCTTTAATCACTGCCCATGTTTAATACTTATTAACATCTTGCCTTATTTCTTTCGGACCCATTTCTTTCACAAGGACAGTGTGGCTACTCTGCAGGCTGGCCCTGAACTTCTGGGCTCAAGCAGTTCTCGTATCTCAGTCTTGAGTAGCTAGGACTATAGGCGTGTGCCAAAATGCACAGCTGTGGACCCATTTCTTAAAGAGCAATTGCTTTAAAGAAACACACTTAAAGAGCTGGGGTTGTAGCTCAGTGGTAGAGTGCTTATCTAATGTGTGAGGCACCACATAAAAATAAGTAAATAAAGTAAATGTATTGTGTCCATCTACAACTAAAATATATGTGTGTGTATATATATATATATATATATATATATATATATATATATATTTTTTTTTTTAAGGTTCTGCATTATAAGGTCACTTCCAGACTATTGTCAGTGTGCCAGACTTCATGCAAGGCATTTACTTATATGCACCTTAATAAGAACTGTTAGGCATTGCAACCCATTTTACTGTTGAAGAAACTGATGAACAGAGACGAAGTGTGCCCAAGTTACAGAGTTTTAAATAGAGGAGCCAGGTGGTAGACCCACGCAGTCTGGCCTTGCAGTCTGTTTACTGCATACTTTTCTGGTTCCAAAATTGAAAATCCAGCTTATTCATTTGCTGTTGCTTGTTAATATTGCACTATGTGAATGTGCCACAACCTGTCCATTCTTCTGCGTCCAGCCTTGCAATGCTGTGGTACATACTGTACTTACTTATTGATTTGTGCAAATGTGGGGAAGGCTTTTCAGACTCTGCATCTAAAAATGGAATTGCTAGGCCCAGGGAAAATCCGCGTCATCGTCATAGGTTTTGCCAAGTTGCTCTCCAGTGTACCCACCAGCAGGGTAGAAAAATGCCCATTTTTTTCCTAGTACCAACTCTTTGTATTGTTAGCTTTTTAAGTTTTTGCAAAATAACGTGGGATTTTATTTTTTAACTTGCATTTCTACCTTATAAAAATGCCATGAGGTTTAAATGCAACAGGAACCTTGCAAGATGGGTTATTAATAGAATGATCGTGAAATTTATCTCCTGAATCAGATCACTTGTGGGAGAAAGGATTTTATAGCCAGACGAGGTGCCAGGACAGTGGCTATAAGTTGGGGTTGTCCCAGGCAAACCACCACAGACCTAGTTATTAAATACATAGTCAGTGTAATAGCTTACATTCAGTTTGGTTTTCTTGTAACATTTACTGTCAAGTTATTTTAAAACCCCGGAAAGATGTGAAAATGTTACTCTTAAGTTTATGTCTTAGCATTCTTAAATATGATGTCTTTCTCTTAGATTAAGGTCACGGTTGCAGGTCTGTCTGGAAAAGACCCAGTACAGTGTAGCCGTGATGTTGTCATTTGTCCTGATGCCAGTCTTGAAGATGCACGAAAGCAGGTTTGTTTTCTGTACATGAAATTATTCCTTCATATGGCTTCTATGTTAGTTTCTTGAAATGTCTTTTAATTATATATAAGGTCATTGTTAGAATAGACTTATTTTAAGGAAATTATTTTCCTTGGAAATATTCTCCACCAAACTTGAGGGTGTCACCTTTCTGCTGTACCATAGAACCTGGCAGTTGTAGATACTGCTTTTGTGTCCAGAAGGTGGGAGGGTGGTGTGTGGATGAGTGAATGGATGCGAAGGCGGAGGCGTGTGGAAGCCTCTTTCTGTCCTTTTTCTAAAGCTGTTTGTTTGTGATACATAGCATTTGGGTTCCTTTAACAAAAGTATACATAGGAGGAATTCTGTGTCAGTCCCCACTCCCCCGCTTTTCCTCCCCCTTCCCTTCCCCACTCTCCCTCCTCTATTCTATAGCTCTCCCTTTCGTGGCTCTTCAGTTTTAATTGTTTCTTTCTACATGTACATGAAGAGGAAATTCCCTTTGGTGTATTTATGCGTGTGTATGACTTTGTTTTGTTAGATCCATCCCATATTTCTTTCCCTCCCTCCCTGCCTCTCACTCTCCTCCTCTTGCTCTGCTGACCTCCCTGGGTCTTGATGACAGCCTATTTGCTCCTCTACTCTGCTCCAGCTTCCACAAATGAGAGGCAACATTTCATCCATGACTTTCCAAGTCTGGCTTATCTCACTTACATGATGGTCTCCATTTTCATTTAAAGCTGCTTCTCAGGTGTTTGATTCATCTCAGATGAAACAGCTTGCGCAGAATGGTTACAGGGTGGATAAGATTCTACTAAAATCCTTGCTTTTTCAGTACCTTTAGAAGGATGGTCCTCACCTTGAGGGTGACAGGCTCTCCTGGTTATCTTAGGGAAAGCCGGGTCCCTTGTCTCAGAAGCTCTTGCCCACCTTGCCACAGGTTCAGATGGGCCTGTCAGGGGACGAGAGGTGGGCTGTGCCATACTCAAGGGGACAGTGGCAGAAAGGGGGCAGACCGAGCTCACCATGGTTGTGCTGTGCCAGAACCCAAGCAGAATTCCCCATGTGAGTTGTCCTCACACAGTGAATATTTCATGGCTGGCTTGTGGAGAATTGGAACATTGTTAATATATACAAGTTCTTTTTTTTATCCTGTTAAAATAGAAATAGAAGAGAAAAATAAAAGATTCCTCTTTTCTATTCGTCCTCTGGTGTCTAGAGTATTTTAGATCAGCAGTTACCTTTGTAAGTATTCATTTAGTTAAATTATAAAGAGTGAAAGAAATTAGGTACTTCACTTCCATTTAGTTTTTTGAGTTTTTGCTTTGTTTAAAACAAGTCAGATATTTATGATATTAAAAAGTAATTCTAAAAAGTAGATGTCACACTACTCAGGAAGCTTAGGCAGGAGGATCAAGAATTCAAAGCCAGCCTCAGCAATTTAGTGAGACCCTGTATCAAAATAAACTATACAAAAAAGGCAGGAATGTGGCTCAGAGGTTGAGTACCCTTCAGTCCCTGGTACCAAAACATATATACACACAAAACATACGTATATACATACATAAAATTGTTACATACATTCTTCTCAAATAATAATTCAGGGCTGGGATGTGGTTTGGCAGAGCACGTGTTTGGCAAAGCAAGGTCCTGGGTTCAATCCCCAGCATGGTGAAAAAACAAAGGGCGATTCATCTGAGATAGACATATATAAAGTCAAAGTGCTTATTCTCCCTCCGTCCCCCACTCTGCTCTCCTTTAGTGGCTGTGCCTCTCTGAGTATCTGAATACACACAGCTGGGGGATGTGTGTGGCTTGTGGGTTCGCATAACGTGCATCTGGGTATGTGTGCTGTTTATACTTTGGTCTGTGTGTGTGACAGCCTCTCTGTGTAGCCCAGCTGGGCTCAGACCATTGTTCTCCTTCAGCTCAGGCACCCCAGTCTCTTACAAGAGTGCAGTTATCTGGAGCTGCTGCTCTGCCACGTGGACATCCTTTCATGTTTCTCTATTCATATATTCTGCATATTTTTTTTGCTAGTTAGAAACATCCCATCATAGGAACTCAGCATGACTTATTTAAATTCTTTTCGGGGATGGTTTTGGAGATTGAACTAGGGCCTCATGTGTGCTGTATTGCTGAGCTACACCCCAGCCCCTAACTATTTTTCTTTTGACAAATACTTGGATTATCTCCCATGCTTTATTTGTATCCACATTTGAAAGACAAAAGTGTTATTAGATTGTCACTTTAATTATATATTTGAAATAAAATGTTCTTTTTTAAATTTTTCGAACTATTACAGGGACCATACGATGTGGTGGTTCTGCCAGGAGGTAATCTGGGTGCACAGAATTTATCTGAGGTAAAAGCTCAAATTTACTCATACACCTCCAAAGGCTGGGCAGGGTGGAGTCTAAAGCAGGCATTTCAGCATCTACTTGTGTTTTGTGCAGTTTGTTATTTGGATATTTTAGGGAGAAGGTTGTGAAAGAAAGAAAAACAACTAAAATTAACCAAATCATATTATAAACTTATTTTTATTTTAAAAAATATTCTAATAGCTTTTGTATGAAAAGAGCTGAGCCAGTGATCAGTTACTATGAAGAGAGGCACCCACAGTCCACAGTAAGAGCATGTGTGTTTCCCCAGCTGCAGAAGAGTGCTCTGATGTTGTGAAGGCTGACACAGGAAGCTGGAGGCCAGCCATCTGCTCCGCAGTCTTGGTTGAGGGAGATTGTGGGGACTAGAGGTGCCAGCATGAATGACAATGGCTTCAGGGGGGTCCACCGCCTCTTCATTTTAAGTCTTGTGTGAAGAGTGACCAGGGAAGAAGAGATGGGAGGGGCAGGTGAGCAGGCAGGGGTGGGGTGTACAGAAAGACTTGAAGAGGCGCAGTGGACATTAGGGAGGTCTCCTGGTCGGTCAGTCCTCACTCTGCCATCTGAAGACCCCCACACCCCTCTGCCTCTTTCTCCATGGAGAACAGAACCACAGGGGTAAAATGTGCCAGGAGTTAGTGCTTTCTCCTGTCGTCTTTAAGCAAAGAGAGATGCTTTTCTTTCAGGACAAAAGCCTTGACTGAGGGTAAGAATATAGGTATGATATGAATTTGATAATTTTCATATTAATGATTTAGAGATATTTTGGGGAAATAGATTGAAGCTCTTGTGGTTTAAGCTAAAATCAAATTTGGCCAAAGATTCCTGGCGAGATGCTGGTTTACAACCTAATCATAGCTGGCTGTCTTTGGTTTTCTTTGACAGTCTGCTGCTGTGAAGGAGATCCTGAAGGAGCAGGAGAGCAGGAAGGGCCTCATAGCCGCCATCTGTGCAGGTAATGTGCCCCAGCAGCGCAGGGGGAGAAGGCTTGAAGGCTTCCATCCTGGTGTGCCTGGTTTGGGTGGCATGAAGTCATGTCCTTTCAGCAGAGTCCAGTTGTCTGGTCGGCCTTTTCTGTACCCTTGGTCTGCATTCTGTGCAACTTACTGTTTTCTATGTTCAGTTGACCTCAGAGGAAAACAAGGCCAATGGAATTCAGTGAACAGCTTGTCACAGCAGATCTTCCTGCCAGCACAGTCAGCAAGAACCTCTCAGACATAAACACCACAGCTCTGCCCTGAGCTTGCCCTGCAGGCTTGTAAGCCAGGGCGCTTGCAGCCTGTGTCCTGGGTGTTTCTGATTCTCTCTCTCAGGTGGTCTTGGGCCCTGCATCATCTGCCACATAATTGAGAAAAAATCTTTTAGTGCTTTGTACCCCATCTTTGACTCTTTGTAGCAGTATTCTGTCATCTGTGTCATTGCAAGTGCATCCTGTTGCTTGAAGGTCAGATGCTGTCCTGCTGTCAAGTGTATATCTCTGGCCAGTGCCCTTCCTGCTGTGGTCTTCATGAAGTGTGTCTCAGAAGAGCCAGTGAATAAATGCAGCGTGGTGGGTGGTTTGGTCAAAGTGACATGCTGGTGTTTGTTCAGTATGTTAGGTCTTTTTTTAAAGAGGTGGCAGCAGGGACTCTGTGCCCCAGCACTGGGCTCATTTTCCTCCAGAGGGCAGGCAGGTGAGAGCAGACCCTGGGGATGTCACTTGCTTTTCCTGCTCTCACACAAGAGTGGCATCAGAGGTTGTCAGAGCTATCATTTGGGCAGGGCACTTCTCATGCTTTTAAAATCTCCCAGTTTGGGGTTTGGGTGTAGTTCAAGGATAGGGCACCTCTTCGCATGCCTGAATCCCTGGGTTCCATCCCCAGCACCCCCTAAAAATCCCGGTTTTAATTTCTAACATGGCACACAGTGAGTGGTGTGACCCACATACAAACTGAAGGTGTCCTAAGACCTCCAGTGCTTGAAGCTGCTGCCTAGAGACTGGGAGGGACAACTGAGGCCCCTGTCCTGGCTGGCCTTGCCCTCGGGTTCCCCGGTGCGCTGGCCTCTTGCCGCCTGCCCTGGGACAGAAGGGCTTCTCTGAAGGCTCGCAGTCACTGTGTCCCAAGCAGCTGCTCCCTCCTGGGGAATATGTCATGGGTCCTATTAGTTTGGTCTCTGACTGCTCTGCTGCTGGGAAGCTAGCCTCATTCTCAGGTGCTTTGACCAAATGAATAAAGTGAGAGTCTGCCTGGATTTGTTTCCTTATTACTCTGCTAAAAGCAAAACCACATGACCTTTAGTCTTGCAGTGTCGTGGAGGTAGCAAAATTACCAGCCTCATGTGGCTCACTGTCTTGTGCTGGGATAAGCTTGACTACCATGCCAGGAATATGGGCCCTACAGTAATCGACTTTAAACTATGGGCTGGGGATGTGGCTCAAGCAGTAGCGCGCTCGCCTGGCATGCGTGCGGCCCAGGTTCAATCCTCAGCACCACATACCA